CGGCTGCCGCTGTGGTTTCGCCCACGCTGGCCAGCACCGCGCACCGCCGACGCCGTCTGACTCACATTGCCACGTTCCGTCTATACTTCTATATTGTCTACCGAGTTCAGGGCTGGCTAATTTTATTTATAAACAGTGAAATGTCCCGATTTCGCGCAGCTGCAACTAGGTACAGTTGGAAATTCTATTTTTTTTATTAAAATTGAACTCTTTATGGGAATACATTAAAAGCAGAAAGATTTGTTCATTCATAATATTCCTCTTTATAAAATTATAATATAAAAACTTTAGATCAATTTAATTATTGTTAACTTTAAAAATATTGTTGTGTACTTCCTAAATTACACTTGCATTTGGTTTACCCCCGTGGTCGTCCTATATTAATGTTAAAGTTCTGTTTCCTTTTAGAATCGTTTTCATGCACATTTACGTGTTCCTTACAAAATGTTTTTATCTTAACCTTTATGTTTTAACCCACACACTTGGCTAACCGAGTGCAAAATATCTCATTAAAATTATATTCAAAACTGCTTTATTAAACAGACTTAACTTTAAAATATATTACATTAAACAAAATAAGCATTAGAGCTGCGTAGAATTCAGAATGCTTTATTACGACTAATCGAATTTAAAATTAAACATCAATGTAGCAAAAAATAATTGAATCAAATTTATATACAATATACAATAGCATAATATTTACCATGGCATTGATGCCAGTATCATTTATAAACCCTATTACAATATTATCTATAAAAGGTCTATCTATCTATAAGATTTCCAGTTGTTGTGATAAACAGCGGTCTTTGTAGTGGATTCGTTATAAAATTACTACTAGCCATGGTATGTACATAGTTGATTTAGTTAGGTATATATTAGGTACTTAGTAATGTCGGCTTCACAAAAATGTAAACAAGCTTGTCACAATAACATTATCAATTAAAGTGGTTTAAACAATTTTTATAAAGCCAATAATAGAACTATGACAAAGTAGGTACTAAAGTGTTACGTATGTATTACCGCATGTGACTGTACTGTACTATTAGATAGGCCATCTATTCTGATCAGACAATAGATGCTCCACGTATCCATAAAAATATGAATGTACAAATGAATTGAATTCATGCATTATGATATGTATATCATAATCTGTGTCGTGTCTGTAGACACCATCATATACTGTAGATTAAATACTTGCCACCTAATATGTTTAAATGTGTTTAAAACAAAACTCATAAAAGGTATATAATTAGTCTTTATCTTGACTGTAAATAACAATAGTAAATCGTGTAGGGCTGCCAAATTTTAGAAACTTGTTTTTTATACAAACCAAAGTTTGATGGAAGATAGGAGTTAAAATATCTCGTTCATTATTAGCTGCTCCAGTCTTATATATCGTATTATTTCGAACTGGAAGTCTTCCCCATCGTCAGTTACCAATACAATAAGTTCGCTACTTTGAACAGGATAAAAAAAGTAAATAAATATCTATTTTTCGTTAATTTAATGACTAATATACTGATCTACCCTATAACTAATCTATGAATGAGAATGTACCTACTAAAAACATAACATGCGGTGAAAATTTATATTACTGAAAGTCTAATTCTCATTCGAAATTGTTGTTGATGATGTACTTGTATCGAAAACTAAAAAAATATTATTGGTACAAGATTTATTGTTGGCAACCCTACAATCGAGCTCAACTAGTGGGCGCCGCGTTATCATAATCTTCGAGATAATCCGAACACAAGTGCGCTGTAATTGTCCTCTATTTGTTATGAATGTTCGCAAATAATCCAATGTTGAAGTCAAAACATTCAGTTTAAAAAATACATCTAGTGGCGCCACTTAGTCATGATTAAAAATACTTTTACACTACTTTTTTTTTAGACTACAGAATTATACACTACATAATATTATCTTGAATTACATACCTAGTCTAATCTAGTTTCACATTGCCTAATATAATAATAAATAATATAATTTAATATATTAATCCTATTTTTTCTTCTAGTGACATATTGAAATATCCTTTTATCGAAATAATAATGAATGAATGGAACAAACAACTAGAATAGATAAGTTTTTTTGTATATAATTATACCTACCTACAATATATTTATACTAATTTAAGTAAAAAACGTAATACTATGATAGTTTATCTGCTAAATATGTTACTTAAATTTAAGTGTACAGTATTTGTTTTTTAATTAAATTATGTATTACACATTTTTTTAATTCTGTGACAAAAGTTCACAACTGCCATTTTACGAGTACATTTTGTTTTCATACAAAATTCAACAAGAAGTCAACCTGCCACCGGCCGTTCCCGGAATGTATGATCGGCTAGTTCGACTTGGCATTAGGGAATGATCCCGATCTCGCGAGATCTGGATCAATCCCGACGCATCATATGACGAGATCGAGATTGACAATGAAATAAAAAATATAATCACACCAGATATTAATAACTAATCATCGCCTCTTTCAATGATTGCAGAAGATTTGATACGTGCTGCACAAAAATAAATTTATGTCCTTTTGCACGTATATACAAAAATGAATTTTTAGTTTGCATATAATTGCTTCGCCACGCTGTTGCCAACCAGCGTTGAGTGCATTCTCGGTACATTGCAACGGACATTAGATGCCGTGTACAGATAAATAATATTAATACCCTTTACTTTGTTTTAGTAAACATTGCGTGTCAAAATCACTCTTTTTCCTAATTCCCTTGAAATAAGCTTATTGTTTTGATTACCTAATTTACCTACGTTAATTTCCTTACAACCTGATTATTATTTAGTTGGTAAGATTAAAGAATAAAGGTTTTTATTTTCTTTCGAGTAATATGTTATTTTAGTTAACCTCACTATCACAAACAAGCAGTTATTAGCTTTTTCAGTCATCTGAATTCAACATTTTTTTTTTAATTTAGACGGGATCGAAAAATCGGGATCCCGCGGGATTGATATTTCTAATCCCGCGGGATCCCGAATTTGCAATCTCGAGTCGAGATTGTGCATCCAATGTTTTGATAGATAGAAATTTTATGTACAAAAATGAATTACAACGTACTGTGTCGGTCATACCACAGATAACATAATATTACTCAGAATCTCGACTTTGTGTGTGATCCAAGTAGTAAACAGTCTCTGAAATGTGTTTTTGTTAAAATTTGAATAGACCTGAGTTTTATTTAATTTTTGGACAATATAGTGTTAAGAACAGATTTCCACAAAAAGCCATGAAAAATGTAACATTTAGACCCATTATGTAAAATGTCCTCTCTAACTAATTCGTTACAACATGTAAATTTGAATCCACCTCAGTGGTGTAAAAATTTCAAACCTAAGTACCGGTTTCTGTGTAGGTACCTATCTATTCATTAGTTTTTTTCACTCTGTAGTAATTGCGTCATAGTACTATCTACCTGTTTGTTATTGCGCATCGTTTATTCGTCTACAGCGCCGTCAGCTCCGTGATGCCAAGCTAACTTTGTAACATCACGAATAGGCCACGCGCGTGACCTACTAGTTTGCACTCTTTGCGACAGCCTGCTAAAACTTCAAAACGTGACACTGTCACATTCAGCGAAATAAAGTACTTACTTATAGAATATAAATTATGTCTACAGTGATGATCACGATCTGTCTTACCTACTGCAGTACTATTTTATAGGTTCCGTACTCGTTTACATTTATGGAATGCGTATATAATGACGTCAATTGTAAATCAATTAGGTTTCATTTACTTCACCAAAATAGACTACCTGGTGGCAATCGGTAACCGTCACATATAATAAAATGCAATTTAAACATTCGATACGTTCCTGTCAGAATGATGTCCATTTAATTTTACTAAATTTCGGAAAGAAGGACTACGACCAATGAAACTGTAAAAGAAGTCTGCAGCTATAGCGTCGGTCAAATTTGAAGGACCGTCTGGGTGAAAGTTGGTTCAGTAAACCATTGACAACCATCATTTGTTTTTTGACTCTAAGATATTGTGAACAATAATTTATTGACAATTATAGTATATTATAAACGAAATATATCATACAAGTAATCTATAAGGAACTTTATATAAAATATCGTTCTGCGTTTTACTCAAGGAAGAAGTAGAAAGCAATTTTACGAAAATATGTAGAATGGTGACAAGAGGTTTCTTACCACATTGGTGGTATATTCGTTACATTGGAGAACGGCAAAGTAAATGTTGTATATGTGTATGGTTATAAAAATATGTATTTCGATCATAAAAAATTATATTAATAAATTAAAATTCGAGGAAATTTAACCTTGAGGTCCTCCCTAGACTCCATTATTTATATATTAAGTTAATCTTTTTCCTCATATTATGTATGTCGTCGTTATGTATAGATTAATCCTTTTAATTCAGATTAAGTTAATTTGATTGCAACATTGATAATGGTGATTATGCCACAATGACATTTCACTTTATTAAGGTAGTTTAAAGTATTTTATAGTATCATTTATTTTAACTATGCATTACTAAAAAAACTATTTATAATAGAAATGACAAATAGTGCAATTTTTATTTTAGTTTGTTCTTATTATCTCTTTGACCATGCAATCATAGATTAGTACTATTTACTATTTTTTATGTAAAACTTATATAAAAATAATAAATATATACCAACGTACATAAATCGAAATTGAAATTATAGGGTCAAAATTAAAAAAGTAGCGCGTTGATGTCTCCAGTATAGACAAAAATGTTTTTCCGTAATTATTATAATTTATTAAATATTATAATTTAATTTATAAAACATATTTGATATTTTTATAAGTAACTTTTGATACGTGATACCTAGCTACTAAATTTAATAAATATAATACATACAATATATGTAACGCATTATTTTTAAAAAGTATGTACCTATATCATAAATAAAATAATCAACTTCTATATTAAAAACTTTTAAAAACATATTTATAACAAAACCTTTTTCAAAATGTTAATACTTTACTCACCCTTCTGTTATCACTGTTCTTCTTCTGATCTGGCTGCGCAGCCGGTGGGCTCATATTCCCGTTCACCACCATCACGGGATTGGAAGCACCCTGCTGCAGGCTTCCAGAAATACCAGTCACCATATTGTTTATTCACTCAAGTTCTATACCAGTCACTGCATATCGATATCCACTAGACCGATCTTCGTTGCACGAGAGTTCAGCGTGCATGTAGCAGCAACAAATACGTATAAAGAGTATCGCTGTCGACGCACGACTGTCGCGAGTCGCCGTACAAACGCTCGGCGCCCGCTCGGCCTCCGCTCGGGCTCCGCTCGGCAGGCCGGGCCTTCGGGCACGCGACCATCGCACGCACAGCGGCCTCTCGCGTGCCTCCGCATTACATTAGAAGGTTTGTTTGCACGTGCTGACGGGACTACTAATCTGATTGTTTTGAAGATATCCGCTTAGATAATATCACAAGTCAAAAATATATATTTTTTGATAACTATAATGATTTTTAACTATGTAGATGTCGTGGTGTAGTGGTTGAGTTGAGATTAAATGTGGCTAACACTAAAAAAGGAGTTTGTTAATTTATATTTCTAACTAACTCTCCGGTGATGGAAATACCAGTAACAAACAAAATGTTATCAGAAATAATGCTGTAGGCTCGCTGATTACCTACTCATCCCGTAAGACTCCACCTGGTGTCCGACTGGCATATATAATATGTGCACAAGCACCAGTGAATACACCATTCTGTTATAACTCTATAATAAAGAAAATACTACCGAAAATTATTACAGTTTAGTCAATATTGATGCATAACTACAATATTTATATACGCATAGACGTATTCGAATATCTTTACATACTATGAAATCAGCATCTGCTGTCTGTTCGCTTATATCTTTTAAACTACACAACGGATTTTAATGTAGAATTTAGCAATAGCACAGAAAATATAATATTGATGCAATAATGCAAAGATTTAAGAGGACGTTTTATATCTATAATACATACACACTTGGGAAGCCTGGGCGGTTTGCTAGTAATCATCATCATTACATAGTATAAAACAAAGTCGCTGTCGCTGTCCGTCCCTATGAATGCTTAAATCTTTAAACTACGGAACGGATTTTGAAGCGCTTTTTTTAATAGATAGAGTGATTCAAGAGGAAGGAGGAAGGCACGGGTGTACATGTATAATACATGTACACCCGTGCGAAGCTGGGGTGGGTAGCTAGTATATAAATATGAATTTATTGAAAGCGGTTCCGAATTTATAAAAATATCACTTATATAACTAAAATATTCTAAACAATAGACATACTAAGTTTGAAAATAATGGACAAACGCGCTCATTTATTCAGATACGGCTAACGCTGACATCAGTTGCGACGCGGCAAGCCTCTAATGTATTGACAGTGAGCATAAATTTGTACGCGTCTGCCGCCCACATCAAAGCGGCCGGCGCGGCGCGGCGCCGAGACGCAGCCTCTTGCATATGCAAGCACTGCTCTTAGGCCACCCGCCACATCTATTCTGCATAAGATTTTATTCAAATTTCGTATTGTCTGTATTCTTTGCTAACGTCGCCGTTAGCGGGCTAATTATGACCATGTCGACCTGTTACTATTTGAACAATTTGTTGGAACTCATAGTGATGAGGGGAATGCATTACAAACTTGTAAAATTATACATTTGTTTGAAAATAGCTACAGTTTCTTGGCTATTCTTCACAGCTGAATATGCATTACGGATGAGGCGATGGAATCATAAAAAATAAGTATTCAGAAGTATATATATTATGTCTATTTTAATAGGTATTATCTATTGCTATTCTGTTTAATTGCACTTTTTGTTGGCCATATAAAATATATTACATAATATAGTATTAATCTAAAACTTGCGAAAATAATATTTATTCATTGTTCCGTGGGCCATCAAATTTGAGTTTACGAAGAGTAAGCATTTTATACATAATATATGTAATAATCTTTCACATTTAAAAAAGGTGAGGTTGATTTGAAATAACTTTAATATATATATATATATATATATTATTTTTAATTTAAAATGTAAAAATAATAATTGGGATCTGATGATTCGACTAAATTATCTATCCAAATCTTAAAAATCGGGATTTTTTTTATATTGGCCAGCCGATTCGTGTCTTAGCATGCTGTGTGAATGTATTTTTCTTAAATTTGAACGAGAAAAAAATTGTAACTTCGTAGAAACTTTTTTGTTACAAATTAGTTGGTAGGTTACATAACTAACTGTAATTTTTAAATAAAAAATCAACTGTTACAATTAACGGTCGATGTATTTTAAAACAACCGCTTTGTTTCTTTGGTTTCATCCCAAAAACCGGACAAACAATGTATTTGCTCCATTTTACTAATTTTTACAACGCAAAAATAGAGCGTTTCTTTGTTAAGTTTTTATGATATTTTTAACTACATTCTACCTTGTCAACCGTATTCTAAAGTTGTTTACTCTCAATGTACCTACAAGATACCGTTATTATTTTCATTTTTAATTTAATACCTCCTAAATTAACGTCCAATTAAGGGAATTAATAATCACGAAAAGAAGTTGGCATTTCTGATTACTTTGAATCAAATAAATTTTGAATTTAGATTTAATTTAAATATCATATATAGGTAGATGTAAACTTAAAGAAATATGTCTAATAGGGTATAAAATTTTATGTTATTAGTATTTTTCTACATATACATTCTCAGTTAGCAAGGTAGTTTCATAGAACCTAAATTTGTCTTTTAATTAATTAATTATTAATTTTAATTCAATATTTAATAATTATAAATGTAATACATGTAACTAGGTATATACATATTGTGTGTGACCAAGTGTAGGTATATAAACACAGAGAGAGCAGAAAGAAAACAAATAAAGTAGACACACAACAATTCCAAAGCTAAATCTGCCATCAATTCGACATGGTGTTGAATACGGAATTTCTTTAGAAGTGTAATTATGGTGGGTTTCCAAAAAGCCGCGTTGGTTTCGGTAGCAATAAAACTTACGTTATGAGACAAAAGGGTTTGCCATCGAGCTGCGGGCGATCTTCCCCGAACTAGTGTTGCGAACAAACAAAATGATTAGTCATGGTGCAATTTGACGGGTATTTTTATTTTAAAACTACTAATAGATATTATATACACTCGCTTCTGAAAGTAACGATTATATGTCTAGACAGGTATATCACGCGCAGCGAGTATTTATAGCGACAATCCTATAACCCATATATTATTCACTATATATACCTACTACATACCTATTTTATAGTTCTATAATTAAATAGTATACTTCAAAATGAAAATAAACACATCTACAAGCAGTGACCCACTGAATTTAATCACTGAGCAAATAACCTATAGATATAGGTACGTTTAATTTAATAAATTAGATACATTTAATTTTCAGGAGTATCTAGTTACATTCGCAACTAGACTCCATGATTTCTATAATCCTTATTACTCAATACTCAACGGTTTAATATACTGATCTGTTTAGTATAACTATGTAATATTATGTTATCTGTGGTATAACTTATTATCGATGGTCATATGTTCGATTCCTCGAACGATACAAGCATTTGTATACATGGGCATGATTGTATATTATATACACATATTTAAAAATAAAATGGATGAAGTATTTCTATCAGTTTTTTAGTACCCATAGTACAAGGTCTGCTTTTTTCGGGTTTGGAACTAGAAAGCGCTGCGTGAATTGTGCCGGCGTATTATTACTCCTAATAATAATAATAATAAAAATTAAACCGAAAATTAAGAGTTGCATACAAAACACGAAACTAAATACACCGCAGGTACCTAATACATACTGTTACAGACAACTTGTCTACCATTCTTTTTATAAACATTTGTATTATTTTGATACTTCTTTTTTATATGTTACTTTCGACTTGTTTGTGGGGCCTCTAGGGAATTATACATACCTATATATAATATACAAATTATTACTTGAATGTACGGTGAGTAGATACCAACCTGCTACGGCAAAAACGCCACACCAAATTATGTTAATTTATTTCAATGAACCATAATCGATCAGATGATCGGTTATTTGATACCTCCATACCTACCTTATATTTTTTGGTTCTCTGATGAATGAATAATGTTTTTTGCTTAGTGAGAGTGATCAGTTTCACTGGATCAGAATGAATCAATTTTTTTAAACTGATACTCGCATTACTTCTGTACTTTGATATTTAATTTCGATTATCCTACCAATTTTATCCAACCTGCGAAATAGAGTAATTCGAGTAGATCAATCTTTTTTTTTTATATATCCTATATTTTTGTTATAAATTTTCAGATTGACCTTTTACTGACTAGGAGGTAGCTATTGTACCTACATAAAACAAGAGAAGTATATAGCAAATAAGAGAGAGTAATGGGAGAAAGGTAATCAGTAGCTGTCTGTAACTATACGTCTACTACTACCTATTGACCGCGGCTTTATATGCGTACAAAGGTAGTGGATGAAATCAATTAAAAATTAACCGAAATCAAATTTAAGCTTTCTAGACTCGCTAGTTTTTGTTGTGCATTGTTAAGTCAATCTGGACAATCAATTTCATAAGTATAGATAAAAAGAAATAGCAATTTCGTCGTGAAGATAAAATATTAAACAAACCGTTATTTCTCATTGACGCAAAGGACGCAATGATAGGTGGTTTTACAAAAGAAACGTTGTTATAGGCGAACGCCATAAACACTTGGCCGTTACGCTTTGTTAGTCTTATTTGGGACATGCCTTTGGCGGCTCGTAAACTTTTTCTTGAATTTTATCGCAGATCGCTTATTGCTGTTGGCGTCCCTTCCACGGGTAAATTGACGGGTTGAGAAAGGCTGCAAAAGGACAATAGAAGCCAAAATGTTTAGCAAACACGCGGCCGAAACAGCGAAAATACTTTGTTAACAGTTAATTGCAAGGGTTCGCCAATAACAGCACCATTGTTGAGAACTCTTTTCTTTCATTACGTTTACGACGTCGCAGAAAGGTTTGGAGCAATTTTTGTATATTTTTGACTTTTTACAACTGTGAACTTTCTCAAAATATTGGACAAGAACCGTGTTTAGCAACTCCCAGTATTTATTACTCAAATTATAATCAGTTACACGATGCATTCTCGGCTGTCAGTAACGTTATATTTTCATGAATTTCATTTCATCTAATCATGAATATAGATTACCTTTGATTGCAGACATTACATTACGAAGTGTTGAATAATGTCGCACCTGCCCTTTTTTAAAGCGTTTTACAACACCGTTTAAAAATCCCTCGTAATTATACGTTAAGCGCAACTCGTTACCCGATAAATGCGTCTTCCTTGGACAAAAACACCACTCCGGGGCGAAAACAAATATTAGTCTGGCAGGGTCGTTCACACACGATAATAATTACGACGCAGCGCAGTGTCAAGATTGGCGCCGAATTTTAAGCGTTCCCTTTCGCTCAAGAACAGTAATTTACTCCAACGCTGGGCCCTTTGCACACTCGATGTTTTTTAGCTGTTCACAAAAAGACAGTCGTACATTGCATTTTTATATTTGCGAGTTTAAAAACGTGATAGTTATATTTATTTATTTACTACTAGCTATATCCACTTTATTCATCCCCTATTTGGCCCTTCCAGGTTATTTTTTGAGATATAATGTAGCCTATGCCCGACCGCGGGATACAGTCTATGTTCATTTTTAATTTCTTATGTTATGTTCTGCTATTTAGTCACAAAAAGGTAACACAAACAATTATAATATTATTATTATATGTATTCAGACTTTCATCATTTTTAGCACATATGAATTAGAATATTAAAATTAGTAGGGATAAGCTTATAGTTTTATAGTTAGCAGCATTAGACAGTTGCAACCACGAACCGGCGTAAAAACTCATGTCAAAACTTGCTATTTATACAGTTTAAAAAGAATTGAACCAAAGGATCGTAAAAAATGCTGTTACTCTTTGCAAGAATTGGCTTAACATTTAGTCTTCTGTATTTACAATACATGAAATTTATTTGTAAATCACTAAGAATTAGAAATTGCATGCCTCCTGAATATGAGGCGAACATTTGTAAATAAATTATCTATCTTTAAACTAGCAACGATACGTAGGTACAGAAATATAAAACCGTTTATAACAATTATTAGCAACTTAGTAGAGAAACCAACCCGTGTACGACAACTTAAATTTGTAAAACCGACACATAATTTATTATAACAACATGTGTTATTACGTATACGTGTTTTACATACTACATTTCTTTCACACTTCGTTTAATAATTTACTCTCGGTACGTCGTCCAATACTGAATAATAACTACTATTTTGTCTCAAAATTTATTTGCTGTTTATAAAAATACATAATTCATTTCATATATGTTAAATGAATAATGAAAATATTGCTTACAATTATTACAGGATATATATTGATATTTATCTATATTTATATATCTTTTCTACAAACTAACTTATACAATAAATAGGGTATACAATGAATGAATGATTACCACCTACAATATTTGAGAGCCGCAAAAACTGAAATATTAGTACATATATAAATCAGACTTTTATTTATAAGTACTATTATAAATACAATACAAACTTGAAAGTCGCACAGCGTGCTATAGAAAGAACTATGCTAGGAACGTCTCTGAGAAATCAAATCCCTAGCGAAGCAATTCACCAGAGCATTAAAGTCACAGGGATAGCTCAACAAAATTGCAATCAAAAATGCTTTTCACTCAATCACTGGAATAGATGAGTTTTAAAATGGAGATCGCGATTCGGTAGAACGTAGTGAGAGGCCTGCAGCTGTGTGGAGCAACGACATACGAAAGGTTGCGAGTAACAGCTGGAAGAGAAGACCAGATGGAGACCGCAAATCTGCATACGTGATGTGGGACGGCCTGCAACTAGATGCAGCAATGACATACGAAAGGTTGAGGGTAACAAGTGGAGGAGAAAGGCTAAAAATTGTGCCCAATTACATACCTTGGAATATACCAGCAAGGACAGTAGGAACTGATGATGAACGTCTTTAAAATTATTATTCCGATTTAAGACATCTTTCTTCAAGAAGAGGAGTTTTATCAGATTTTATTATTATAAACCTATATTTAATACCGTTAATTGACCATAAATAATCTGATACAAAAATAAGGTTAGGTAATGTAAATATACTTAATGAAAACATTTAAATTATAAGAGAAATAAGGCAGAGAATTTATACAAAAAAAAAATCTATTAATATCACAATGTAGTCAGTGTATCAACACAGCATACTATTTTCGTCTCAATATGACCAGAGAATTCAACTTCCGAATCGTCACTATTAATTACATTAATATTGACTACAACTGATTACTAAAAGAAGCTCTGGATTCAGGAGGAGCAGGAGATTCTTAAAAATAAATGTGCGTTGAATGTTTAATACACATATTTTATTATAATTTAATTATACCCCGTCAAATTAGTATGCGACGCTCTCTAGAGGTTACAGTGTTGGCGGCAAGTGGGTCGTGCGTATACAAAATGAGTACCTATAAATATGCCACCTTGGAGAAGTGCCGCGTACAAAGTTGATGAACTATAATAATTACATCTCATTAAAAATAAAATAATAAATAAAATTGCTTGCATAAACAAATTATAACATCGTATTAAAACCTCTTTATATCTCGGATAACAAATGATCACATAAGAATACTGTTAAAAATATATTTCTAAAGAAGCACCTTACAATTGTAGAAACAGGGGCATAGATATATATATTAATGTGATCAGTAGGTAGTATAGTGATTTAACACACTGTATCGCTATTGGACAAACTTGATTTCGAGTCGATACAAGTATAATTAATATTCGTATGTATAACTAAAGTTATATTCATAAATTGTATATCATTCACAATAATAAACTTAAGTCTATGAGTAATATAGTACCCATAGTTTGGTACTACATCGCGCTGTATAATATGTATATATAACGAATATACATGTAATACTTAACCAAGTATTAGTCGAAGTAGTACATCATTGCGAATATTATGTTTGTTGTCGGATTTGCCGTAATTAGCCCCCTTAATGTTATTTACAGCTTCAAAAGCAAGTTAGTCTCTAATTTCAATTAAGAAAACAAACAAAATTACAAAATAAAAAGTACCTAAGTAGTTCAATAAAAGAAACTTATTTATATACCGAAGTGAGGCAACATTTTCAAAATTAGAAATTTTCAATATAATTGAGATATATGTATGTAGTTAGATATATGTAGGAGTAAATAGTAAAATTACTACAGAATAATATATGTATAATATTGATATTACACTACAAGATATCAGATTTTATGTACTCAAAATAATTATCTTGACAATTGTAATTGAAAATGTTGAACAAGCTTGGCAAAAAATGTAAAATTAGGTTCACTTATTTGTTTGTATTTCATATATATGACAATCCTATAATATATAACAGTTAATTACATTATTTACAATTTGAATATTAATAGACAAATATGAGAATTTAAAAAAATACTATCATTTAACATTAATTTTCATAACCTTTGGCCACTATTTTGGCTCAAACATATTAATATAGATATTATTATCATTTCTAAAGCACCGTAGTCATGTTTCTAACTGATTCAAGCTGTAAGTATAATGCAAGCACCATACACGTATAGCAAAGAATATTATACGCAAGTAAAAAATATTTTATACTCTGTTACGAGTCATGGGCTAGTGGTTTAGAATGTGGACTTCTAAAATCCGAAACAGCATAAGTTCTGATGCACATAAATTGAAATAGACACAAAATACAGTATGTCAATTTTAATTTCTGACACTTCAGCATTGGTAAGCATTGGTACTAGGGTCGGGGAAACCATGTCGAAGCCTCGAAGTAAGGTAATACAATACTTGGGTCCTCACTCTATATGAACAAAAATAGTTGCAAACAGGTCATTTAAAGCTGTATATCTACATATTTTGAAAAGAAAAGCAAGAATATATTTTAATAATGACGTTGAGGATACAAATTTACCAATTAAAATTTCAGCGTGTGAAAACATTTTCAATTTCCTTCATGCGAACGTTGGGCTCCAAGTCGCTAGGCCCTAGGCTCTGCCTATTCTCTCTAATACTTAGTCCGGCCCTAGAGAGATACGGATTTTGCATATACTTTGAGTGTTACACTTTCATGTACAAAACTTGCTTGTACTAACTACACCGCAATAATTAAATAATAGAGAGTATATTATGTCCGACAATGGTGATATATTTATCATTTCTATGACTGGATCTTAAATCATAATTAATACCTTTATGGTTATTTATCAATCAAATTGATAGATTATTTATATCAGATTAAGATAATATGCATTTGATTCATACGATATTAACTATTAAAAACAAAAATGTATAGAAAAGTAGTATTCTTTATAGATTATATTCCTTATTTGTTAATAGATTCATATACACATGTAATAGCCAATCACCGATTTATAATATGATACCACTTTTCTTTTGCGACTTAACATTTCATTTAATTATCATAAAAACAGTTTGATTAATTAACAGTTTTTTTTAAATGAGACACATATTGTCTAGCTAAATACAAATCTGTAATCCATTGAGATCATAATCGTAAGCAGTTAATACTAATACTGGAATCATCTTTGTACGAAATATTGTTAGTCATTATAAGGTTCATATAACATTTCTATGAACCCATTGAAGTGGTCAAATTCATGAAATAAAGTTTACATTCTAATTTTTAAAATTTACAAGGAATGCTACTTGATAAGCAAATTATTATTTTGTATTTCAAATTATTATAAACAATGACAATTTTTTGTTAGTTCGACGCTGTACAATTTGAACATTAGTTGCTTAATCAAGGTAAATACAAAAAATTTGGCTAATCACTATAATACAATTTCATCAATACAAAAAATAAGGCTTAATACATAACTAGCATAGTGATCACATTTGGAAATATTAAATAATTTTACTAACAGCCATGCATAATAATAATGAGTAATATGTCATATAAGATATGATAATTTTTATATAGTACCTAATACAGTCACTTTCTCATTAAAATACAATGAGTGCTATTTATACAAAAACTTTACAACCAAATATAAATGAAGATTGACACAAAATTGAAGCTAAAAAATTTTACAAGCATACATTTTTTGTGTAGTTAACTGGAATGGTAAACAAGCTAACGGAAGCTCGAATATGGCAACATTACATCATTATATAACGGTTTTGCTATTTGTTGCCATTCCCAATGACTAACGAGTCATGCCTCTACGCATTCCATACACATAATATTATTAGATGTTAACAAGGCAAATCGCAGATTCACAGTAAAAGTATCATATTATAGTAAAATAAGAATAATAATTATATAAAATATAGATCAAACTCGTATCATACCTTGTTGTTGTTAACATACAAATACCAGCAGATAGAATAAATCTCTTTCTAGATGCTAATCACTGACATTAATTTGATCTCGTTTGCACTTAACAGTGATATTTCCAATTTTATTGGCATCGATTTTGTGATCTACTTGTACATTATATTTGGTTAAAATTATTGCATTAACTTTTACTCTTCCGTGAGAATTGTCAAATATTACCCTGGCACACGTCACGAGTCGTGATACACTACACTAGAGTATCATCGGTGACAGCTGGGCAGAAAATTGACATGTCCTATGATTCGGGGAAGAGGATGCTCTCTACTGGCGCTGATGCTGTCATGTCGTCGTTGTCAGGTCTAGACCAGTCCTGGAAACAATAACAAGGTGAATAGAAAACAGTTAAACAGTCACATTTTAGAATTTATAATATTGTAGTAGTATGAATAATCTTAACAAGAAAGAGTCTGACGGCTGAAAGCTATCACAAAAAATCGGAAAGATGATATGAAATTTAACAAGAACATAAAAAAAATCAAAAACTATTGAGAAGTTATTATATTTAAGTTATACAATATACATATTATTACATATTTCTTTTTAATACCGCTTGCTGTTTGCATATGTATGGAAAACATGAGATGATATCCTCATCTCATATGTTTTCCATACAAAAATAAAAAAATAAATATAACAATGTGTTTTAAAATCATTACATATTTTAGACATATAACCTATCCTACTTTTTTTATCGTACTTTCTATTACTGCTTTATTGTGTACTTAAGAATGAATATGAAACGACACAAGAAACTTAATTAGGACTAGTTCTAGTAACATTTACACATAACTATAATGTTTTACTTGAACAAACGACAAACTGAGACATTAGACAGAGAACAAAAGTCACAGATGTACTCTCTAGAATAGACCATTTAAAATGAAGTTGGACTGGGCATATGCTAAGGTGCAAAACAAACAAATGGAGCAAACAAGTGACTCCCTGGTATCCTAGGGACGGGACCAGAAGACAGGGTCGACAAAGAACACGATGGAAAGATGACATCAACCTGACTCTGGGACCGTTATGGAACAGGGTTGCGGAAGACAGAGCTCAGAGGAGAGAGCTGGAGGAGGCCTATGCCAAAAGGCACACAGAGTTTCTGGACATTTTGTAAAACATCAAATGTACCCCAACTTTTGGAAAAAAGGACTATTATTATATAATATGTACAACATGTATTTGGCAATTAAATTAAAATAACGAATTGTTAACAACAATACATATAAATAGGAAGGTATGGTGACACCTGAGATACAATAAAATTCTATACTAGTTCAGGTAACAGAATTATCTCTATATGTTTTAATGTATTTTAAGAGTTATGTACAACACCTAATATTAAAATAAAATATATTATTATTAAATCTACACGAGACTTAGGCAAAATTATTAAACGATACCTGTTCTTCAGTGCTGGCAAAGAATAAGTAGAACAAATTAGCAGCAAGATCAATGGCTGCAGCCAGATAAAAAACTTCACGCCATTGACCAAGAGTTTGCTGAAATAAAAAATAGTATTATTTTAACGTATATATAATAATGATAGTTTATCTGTTTGCAAAAGCGGTGTATTATTACTCCGCATATGGTACAGTCAGTTTGAAAAGTGTTTTAAAAGTTAAAGTAGGAAACATCTCTCTTTGCGAAGAACCGCCGCCAATTTTTTCAGAACAAGAATTAGGAAGTACATTGATCTGTGACTCCATTCATTGCAATACGAATAATCGTAAGAAAAGTATTAAAAAAAAGTGTAAAAAAGACAAGGTAATCTTGATTAACCTTGATTTTTTAGCTTCGGAGCTTGACTTAATCACTTATTGTCTAGTAAATATTGCCGGCGGAGTTGCACGAGTAGAATCGTTAAGTGGAAATTGTATTTTATAAAATTTTTCCTTAACGAATACGTCAGGATCTAATGCATTGCTATCTAAGTGGAGAGATCTAAAGAAAATCATTAATTGTTTAAATAGTCATGACTTTCAAACTCGCCAAGTGTCACTTTATTTGCTGACTGCATCATCAGTGATAGAAACACCGATAACAAACCAAATTAATCTGACGGTGATAAACTTGACTATCTAACAAAAAATTCTAATAAGCCCGGCAAAACCTGAGCGAGTCAGATGATGCGTTCACCACGACAACAATTAATGACCCTGACTACCCCCATCTAAAATAACAGTTATGAAGATAGGAGAGAAGAGGATTGTAAGTGAATGAGGACTGATAACTGTATTGGTAGGAGGAATGTACCAGGTATCATTGTGTTAAATTCCTGGTAAATTGTCACAATATTTACATTCTCCATCAGTGTCTCGCCTGCGTAAACCGTTAGTGCACGATTCCATTATCATCCATAAAAAATATGAAGATATATATATAATATATATAATAAACTGTTGTCTGTACCTGTTCTGTGCTAATAATGTGTCCTATAACGTAAGGCGCTAAAAAGCCACAAATGTTACTTGCTGCATTTGTGATGCCATACATAGTGCCGGCGAACTGTGGAGACAGGTCGATGTGATTCATTTGGTTTCCTGCAAGACAAACAATAGTACTTGTATGTTATTGGCTTTTTATTTATTTAAGGAATAAAATATCCTTTACATAAAAATTCTATCATTTCACACAACATATGTTGTTTCTTTAATTCTGTACTCAATTAGATCAATGATGTATGATAAATTTTATGTCCATTAGGTATTTAGACTGCGATTATTATAAGAAAATTGTTAGTAATTCAACTATGCCATTTCATGAAAATTTATGGCAATTACATATACATGGATATATAAAATAATTTGATTCAATTAATACCCACAAACCACACGTTACTAGATTTGGTATGAGAGTAAAAATGTCTTTTTTATTTATCAATTCTTATTTTACGAAAAATAATTATAAAAACAAGTTTTATAACAATTCTGATTTATCACTTATTTAGCAAAAACTAAAATAATGTAAGTAATTAAATTAAAGTAATAACACTAACCAGCATATACAGCACCACCAAAAGCAGATGTTACGCTGAGTAAGGTCATGACTAATACTCGGTCACAGCCTGCCCATGCGATGCCAAGCAGGCCTAACGCGGGAATAAAGGCCGCTGAAACAATAACATAATAACATTCATCGTCAAATTAACACAATATAATGATTTAAAGGTTATATTGTTTACATCCTGGGCACTTCTGGACAGTGCCATTAAGTCGCAAGCTAAGCAGAGTAGTTATGGTTACTAGACAACTGAGATAATTTTTTAACTTATATACCTTTTTTGTAAATATATAGGTATATAAGCAACAGCCAGACCAATATAAACACTCATACTACTCATGAATACCAATGTATGTAAAAGGGGCATTTTTAATGCCGCAGAAATAACCGCTTTCATAATCCTGGAAACAGTGGTCTAAAACAGCGAAGTTACTACGAGTGGAAAATAACAAGACACCAGAACATCTATGTCTAAATGTGATGCAAAAAGCGGAAAATGAAATTCACTATATAGTTATTCAATTTTTTTTTCATAGATATATGTACCTACTCACCAACAGTATTCCATAACTTCATACTGGTTAGTCTTGAGATCCATCCTTTCGCCAATAACCAATCGGCGAACACACTAATCAAAATACCCGCGATCCATGACGTTAGATATGGTAACGCGGAAAGTGTGGAATTCTGCAATTAATTATATCTCAATTACCATACTATATCAAAATAAACACAACATTGAACGGCTAGACCTCTTACAGCGGCATTTTCACATTTTATAAACTAAAAAAACTGAAATATATATTTCAGTTCCTTTTCATTAGAAACAATGCTAACGATCGTGAATGATATCGAAATAACAAAACTAATAAGATTAATTTTATTTGTAAACAATTTTGGATACTTACCCATATAATATTATATTGGGTACATTACATATATGATAGTTTTCAATAAGTAAACCACAATGTTATTCACAGACTACTCAAGAGCTGGGACAGTTTAAGAATAATAATTAAATGTCGCCACAATGGACAATAGATATTATAATAATAACAATAATACAAAATAAAGAAAACCAAACTAAGCATACTCTCTTTCTCTTTTTTACATACCCAACTCTCACCATATAACAGTGAGAGGACAACACTGAAATTTATTTATATTTGATATAAGTTTATTGATACTGCAATAGTACTTACAGAAATAATGTCGAAATGCAAGATATTGTTCATATAAGTTGGCAACTCAGTAAGCTGGGTGTAGAAAAGCCATGACTGGCCGCACTGTGCAATCAAAATAGCCCACAGTGGCACACATGTCAAAAATTTACACCAAGGTATTGACATTGTATGGTCCTCCTGAAATTAGAAATTAAAATTTTAATAATCATATCTCTTTCTACGTAAAATCATCAATTATAAAATCTTTTTTTCGGATTACTCTAATGCTATTGTCTGCAACTGGGCTTTATAGCTTCACCAGATGACAACGAACGAGTGCAGATGGTACTCCAAACCCGCAGAATGACTTAAGGACTTACGACTGGATAACCGCTAGGGATTCGAACGTCGACTCAGGCCGTCGTAATTTCGGTCCCCATTTGAATTAGTTTAGGGATCGATCGGAGGGGTATAAAAACAGTACAATAACATAACAAGCACAAAATTATATTATGTAATTTTCTTTTACATTTTCATGATGACGTTTGGTTACAATGAGTGCGCGTGAGGCTATTATATTTCATAGTGCCATTTGAATAGTTTTGTAACTTATAAATACTTTAGTTATATCAATTTATTACTTTTTTTATCTTTTTCACTATCCCTAATCAGTCATTGAAATATAAGCTTCTCTGTCTTTTGAGTGTGCGAATAGTGTCCACCCCAGCAGCAGGATGAAAGAAAGAAACAGTCTGAAGATTATTATGAAATCATACTATTATTAAAAAAGTTTGTGACTGGATAGACAGATAGATGAATGTTTGTTACTCTACTACTGAACAGATTTTGATGAAACTTTACAGTAATGTAACTTATACATCATAATAAGAACACATAGGCTATAATTTAAAAAGATATGTGAATTGTTAGCAGAATGATAAATATCAAGTGTGATGCTGGCAAAGTTGCGTGGGTCAGGTAGTATTAGGTACATATTGTCACTTTCTTTTAGAGGCTTACAGTTTTGTTGTTCTAATAGTTGAGTAGTTTTAATTAATTGATACACTTACCTGAGAGCCAATTGAGGAGGTAATGTACTCAATTTCTTTTGGACATATTCTTGGATGTGTCCGGGGAGTATCATACACTAGCAGCATCCATGCTATAAACCATATAACACCAAGTCCTCCAAACAGATAAAAACATAGTGGCCATCCCCCACCAAAGTCTAAGGTACAAAGCCACCCAGATATTGGTAAGGATATTACTGTTCCTATATTAGATCCTGGAAAGATAATTTAGGTCCAAATATAATACTAATAATACTTACTTACTTACTACTTAATACGGACTTAATTACAATTTTAACTTTTGTTATGAGGCATATAATTTTTCCCATTGACATGGATAATGTAATAACAATAAAGAAACTTATTATAAATTTTGTAATGACATATTGTAAATTAAATAATGTAAATTTAATATTGTAATGGATGAAAACTGTGATCGGTACAGCCTATGCTGTAAATAATATAATTGACGTAGTGGAGTAACCTGAAACAGTCATGCTCGCTATAAAGTTCAAACTTGTGGCGGCGTGGTGGGCCGGGTCGATGTGCTCCCTCAAATATGGTTGAGTACAATGATGGCTGTCTCATACGTCATACTCGTGAACGGGTGCTGCTTGTGGGGACTGGTCTGTTCAGGTTGTGAACACTGATTACATTTTTTGTTCTTTGCGATATGCATATGCTGGTGGTCACTCTATTCTCCCAAATTTGAATTTTAATAACTGTATTTATCATAAACATGTTCCACTATTATTTGAAAAAAATTACGAGCTGAGTTTCTTGTCAGTTCTTCTCATCTCGATATCATTCCGAACTGACGGTAGATTTGACATATCATAAGAGTCTGTAATAGACCTACATGAATAAAGATATTTTGAATTTGAATTTGAATTTGAATATAAAAATAACTTGAATGAAATGTGTAAAGTAAAGTGTGAGCGAGTGACTAACTGAAATCGAATAAATAACATATCCAGTTCAATAAATTGTTTAAATGCTCAATATTTTGAATTATTTACATCATAATTAATATTATTCATCACAATACATGTCATACAGGATTAGTCAGATTATCAGTTCTAGAACACACTTTCTGAAATAATATCATGCAGGATCAATTAGTTATTAGTAAAATGTTACAGTAGTAGTGGCTTAGTAAACCCTTTTAAAAGCAATCCTGTATATATTACTTATGAAAATACTATGTTATTAAGAAAGCAATATAAGATGGCAAATTCATTCCTAGAGTGATGTCTTCTACCAATCTTATTATAATTAATAAAATAAAATAAAACTTACCTGCATACACATATGCAGCAAACTTTGATCTTTCTAATGGTGGTATCCACCGAGCTAGCATAGCATGCATCGCTGGATATGTTACCCCCTCACCAAGTCCCTCCAATACTCTGACTACAATGAAAAACTTGAAGTCCACAAAGGCTGCAATTGGGCTTAATATTGTGAACAAAGCAGTTAATAAAACACCCACACCGTAAACAAGCTTCCCTCCAAATATTTCAGCTATCCTTCCACCAGGAACCTAAAATTGAGAATAAACAAACTTAGAGCTTATTACATCACCTGAATTTTTTTATTAACAATAATGGCTATTTTATTAACTTGCAGAAATATATTAAATTTATGCCAAATAAAAATTACAGTCTCCTCCTGGGACATGTCTGCTCTTCTATATTCCTATGCAAGATTAGATTTCATGACAAATCTTTGTGCAAGTATGACATAGATATAATAAACATAAATAAATCACTCAAACACAATCACATAGATAAATCACCATCAAAGTTGTTGGCAACCATTTAAAATAAAGAAGAATACATTATTATTTTCTTTGTAAAAAGACTCAAATTAATTTATAGCTTAAGTTAAAATTCCCATATTTTAAAATAAATTAATTATATTTCAGCCAATTTTGGAGTACCATAATTGGGATTTAACACTAAGTACAAACTTTAATAATTATTTTACCTGAGTTAAAACATATCCATAGAAGAATGAACCTAATATTATGCTTTGTTGTTCAGCAGTCCAATTAAAATCACCAGGTTTCTGAAAAGTATTAACAAATTAATATTATTCATTTTTATTAGGTATTTAATTAGTATACTATTATTATGTTATAAACACAAGTACCTAAATAATAACATTTCTGCTTGTTATCACTTAGTAACTCACTGACTCAGTCTTATAAATTTTGTGTACACATATATTGGAGATGAAAAAGGCCAATAGTAATTTTAAATATGATTAATTAGTATGTTCTAATGACACAACAAATCATTGGAATTAACAATATAGAACAGAACAACATACAAATCTATTGCTTAGTGCTTTGAGATTATAGTATAAAGTAAGTAGTAGTGAGAGTAAAGTAATGAAATGTACATTATAATATATATCTTTTAGGCCAAAAAGTATGTTGGAGTGACAGTTTGCACAGGTCTTAATGACAATATTTAGTTTGTCTTACTGGTCTTAATTAATTGCATGTTCTGCTATGATTATCTTGGAGTATATAAATAACTGTGTCCCATACTGAGTGGCAAAATTGGGTGAGTTTGTATACCAGTGCAAATTACTACACAAATTCTATGATAAAAAGTCCTTCTACACTTAAACTTGTAACTAGATATAAGTTACAAGTTTAAGTTTAATACTGTGATATTACCTAAATGACACCATTACAAGAAAAGAATTCCATTTCTGATTGTAATTATACAATCAATTCAAAGAATTCTTTTCTTACAAATTATAGTAGATACTCACTGAAGGTATTGTGTTGTTGGTAGGTTCTATAACTGGGCAGACATCTAGCCCTGTATCATTTGATGGTGTTGGTTGAGTAGAATTAATCATGGCCACAATAGCTACAGATAAATTCACTCTCATTGCATATACATTTGCAAATCCCAGGAATCCCATAATGCCCAATACTGTCCGGCTTTTGATCCATCCTGTTGTCTCTTCAACTATAAGAATATATATTATATAATTTAATAAACACAGTGACAGTAAAGTGGTTAGTTACACTGTGTAAACTTATTTCAACAGTGTATGAACACATTTCCTTAGGATACAATTATAAATTTCATATAACATGATAGTTTAATGAATAACTTGACAGTTATGTAAATATTTAGATTAGATTATTAAAATCATTAATAATTAATATTGACTAGAACAACAATAAAACAGAGAGAAAGAATAGCAAACAAAAGCATAATCGGTCAGAAAATTTTATAATTAAGCTAGTATAAATCTTAATAAATATTGTATGCCAAATATATGCTTTGTCTCTACTGGGTCTGGGTCCTTTATCTAAACAAATGTAGTCATCAAAATACTGATATAAGTAATGTATATACCAAGTTCGTTTTCCACGAGATTGCGTTGGCTACTTGTAACATCATTTTCTATGTCTGAATTAATTATAGGAGTTTCTTCTATTGGTAAAGACATCATAAAATCAGATGAAAAGCATTACTTGCTGACACTTGTAATCTTTCATGAAGTTGTCTGAATCAGCAATTTCTACACAATTGGTACAATAGTAAACTGTTTAACAAATAGTTTGGAAAATCTACAATCAAATTCACAGATATAAATTTTAGTATTTTGTTGCTTTATTTAATTTTAGGTGTAATATATCTAAAACAGGGAAGTAAACATTAAACAAAAGATTTATAACTTTTTTTTTTACTTTTTCACGACTCTTGTTCCGTAGGTTTTAAACATCGATAATTTAATTTTGAGATGTCGATTTTCATCGATATATTTTCCTTTTCAAAATTTGTTAATATAAAATAAAATACACATAAAACGACTATTTTTCTAATGCACTGTTGTCACAGAAATATTGACTAAAAACTTTGAAAAGATCAGCTAAATTAAAATTTCACTTTTTAGACAACTGAGTTACTTAGTACTATTTATTTAAACTAAGACTGTAATAGAAATGTATTGAGTCAAAATCTACTTAAATCTTTATCTACAATATATATAAAGAATTAGTGTTGATAATGCCTGGCCTGGCTCTACACGCACAACGGCCCGAATGAGAGGCCAATTGCGGAAAATGGAGTCCAACATACCTTAGTGTTGATACTAAATATAATATTTCATATTGCTTATATTCGGATAAATACTATTTTAGACATATAATTCGTGCCTAACATTGCGTATGTTAGCCAATTAGTGATAACTGACTACTCATTTGTAAACGACATTATTGTGTAGTTGCATACACTGCAACCATCGCCTATATACATGAACAGCATTACGGAGATGAAATTAACATATAACACACGTACCACTAATGCTTTGCAATGAAGAACGACTAAAATGTTAGGCATCTTATCCCGTAATTTCGCGCAAGAACTTCATAATAAACCAACAATATATAAAGACAAACAAATTCACTTCAGTTCAAACTCCGAGATTTCGATCTCCGTTTGAATGGAATAGAGGATTGAGAAGTACAATGAAATATTTTTTTAACAAATATTTCTTCCGAGACATTGTCGATACCGATATATATCGTTTACAATTTTTGACATCCCTAAATCTTCTATAATAAAAAAAAAACACCACAGATAAGAAAAAACAAAAAAAACTTAATTTATAGTCTTAGATGGCAGCATTGTATTATAATCCGAATGAATTTATTGTCCATAAATGAATAACGTAATATCTGGCCTCTTTAATTATAAATCATACATCATACATGCATGTACGTAATAAACTATAATTAATTATCATCATTTCTATATTTTTTAATATAAAATACAAGTAATGTAAGTAGGTAGTATTCAACAGTAATTTTTTTACTTTTTACTTTCATCAAATATGTCATAGTCATATAGTTAGGCAATTCTATTTTTGGGACACACTTAGTAATGTAGATATCAACATATAAGATTTTATTATCTCGGTCTAGTTCCGTTTCATGATGAATAATCATAATGCCATTAGCTAATAATTATTCTTTATCATTACTCTTATCTGCATTCACCGGTCAGTATCCATATATACATACTACCTTATTATATGTCAGTTAAACGATATGCGTATGCTCATTTGAAAACAACCAACAATTACTAGTAAAGTGACTACTGTGCTAATCATATAACATGTCAGGTCGACCTCCAAGCAGTCCTTGCATAAATTTCAGCATTGAAGAACTCACTGACTTGAGTTCTTCAATGCTGATCCTATCATTCTCTAATATTTTTCGTAGTTAATTTCCGCTAACCGAACAAATAGTTCACGAGCCAAGATGAACAAACACCAACAACCAATCACGGAACCGAATAATAAATGAATACTTCACAGTTAAAACAATGAATGTCACTTTTTTTTAATAACCTGTTCCATAAGTAATGTTTGCGTACATCGACCCAACATATTTTTGTAGGAATTCATATGTTAAGAAACACTGACAAAAGTGGTCAGAATAGAAGTATATACAAAAAAAAAGGAACTAAGATGAATATTTCAAATATTTATTTCCAAAAAAATAGAATTTGTCAGAGCATTGAAACCCATAAATAAAATAAGTATTTAAGTACTATTATATATAACAAATCAATAAAACTTAACAAGTTGAGTTGCATGTTAATCAGAATATGATAACCCCGATAAAACTTTATGATTAACCTAAGGTTGTCATCCATCAGACATTTCCTTGATATGTACATGTCTGGTATTGTCTGAGGACAATCAGAGAAAATGTTATCAAAGTGAATCAATTCAAAAAAAAATTGAATAGTCCAATAAAACATTAATTTTTAAACAAAGAAATTTGAACTTTTTGTATGGCGTCGACAATTTATGTGATGTTGGCTCTCCATTATATAGTGTAACTTTCCTTGTATTTATGCTAAGTTACAGTCTTATTAATAGTAGCAAGTATTAAAAACAATTTTAGATTACAATTTAAAATTTGATTAGTCATCTGAAAATTAGATGCACAAACAGTTATATTACCATCAAATTATAAAATAAAATGTTGCAACAAATAGTCAACAACTAGAAGTAAAATGAAATGAATGTTTATGAAAATGTTACATCTGTTACAAGAACATGTAGCACTACAAATTAAAACTAAACAGTCATGGACATATCACATAGCATTAATGAGTCTGTAATTAATTTCTAAACATGTTAATTTGACAATAGTTTAGTATTTTCAATATTTTATGAATATAAGTATTCTATATAAAAATAAACCTCTCACTTCTATGAAGAATTATTGAAATTAATAGAATCAGATTAAATTAATAAATTATTTATATAGATATGGAGAAATTAAGAAATGTATAAAATGATGACCATATATTAATAAATTATGATGATGGTGTATAGAAAATACTTGGAAGACCATATTAAATTAGAACATAGAAAAAATATGTTATTACATCCATATTAACATGAGCGAAATCTGGTAGTATACAAAATTAGAAATGTTTGTTAAAAAATTCGATTTAATATGAATTTATTAATACATCGGCCATAAGTATTTGCTGATAGTAGGCATAAGTAAACCCATGATAACAGTTGATATCAGATTAACACTATGATTATCCAAAATGTTTTTTCCACTGATGTGTTTTACAGAGCCACTAGAATGTGACACTATTTTTCCATTTTTATCCATACCTGCAACAAAATATTTTAGATTTAAAAGGCAGCATGTAAATTATAGTTAATTTTCGAATTTAGCCTTGACAATCTGATTTCCCCCTCCTGAGCCAAAGAATCAGGTTTGTCATGAAATTATCTCTATTTATTTATTTGGTATCATATGTTAAAAATATAGTGTGATATTTCACAATCTACAGCAAAATTCTTCACCAATTCATAAAATACTACATTCCTATGATTGTTACATGACATTTGTTTTGTGATGTGTTTTTTAATACAGTTTTTCTATATGTGTTTAATAATATTATATGTAAAATATTTACCGGAGTACTGCAATGTTGCTCCCATTAAGGAATCTATAAAGCTACCAATTAATCCACCAAAAGTGCCATATACAAGCAATGGCCACTGAGGAGGAGCATATGTTAAGATGGATCTATCTGAAAAGTACAATATGGCTATGTAATAGGATAAACCTATTATAAATCCTCCCAGTCCACTGAAAATTGTTCCCATTAAACTTATTCCTCCATTGGTTCCCTTAGGAACTCTTTTTAAAGATGTAATTAAATATGGTTCACTATTGGAAATCACAGTTCCCAATTCAGATGCCCAAGTGTCTCCATTGCAACTGGCAAATACACCTGTAAATAAATTGGTATTGAAGATTCATATAAAATATTTAATTTTACTAAAGCTATTTGCACAAATCTATAAAATTAAAACTTACATACCAAGGATACCCATGGAAAGCCATGAAGCTCTATAATCTCTTATAAAATCTATTGGTTTTTCAGATGCTCCAACATCTATTAAATACAGTAAACCTAGCTGAGTAGCCATGCCTCCATTACACAACACTTGAATCCAATTTCTTTGACCTCCTGGAATGTAAAATATACATTTATATTCCTTACATATTTAGTTAATATAAATTTTCAAATAAATGTTGTATAGTAAGTAAGCATTATTGACTGTGTGATCTAGTATGGTTGTGGGTTTGACCTCGTATGATGCAAAGACTTATATTAATGAGTGTGATTATTTGTATAGGTCAAGTTGTTTTTTATTAATACTCTGTATGTATTTACAATAAAAAAGTAAATAAATATATCTGTCAGTTGTCTAGTACCCATAACACAAGCTCTGGTTAACTTGGGACTAGATGGAGCTGTGTTAATGGTTATTATTGGATTTGCATGTAAGAACATACCTTCTTTAAATTCAGGGTCAAATTTGCGTTTCAAATGTGGTCTCAGTTTTGTTGCTTTTGATGATGAAATGAAAAACGTAAATAATACCGCAAGAAAGCAGTAATTACTTAGTGTTAAGATGAACCCCACTCCAAATCCAAGTATTGCGCCACTTAGGCTAAGGCTTTTTTTTCTATATCCAATAAAAGTAATAACCAGAGGAATAAAACAAGATGCCAACCAGCGTGCGGGTGAAATAACTACCGGTTCTGAAATAAACATTTCTGCGTTTAAAAATAATAGATATAATTTGCAACAAAACTAAACAAAAATACCAAAAATAAAATTGTACCATCAAATCCTTCATTTCTGATAATAAATTTAGAATAAATTAAATTAATAATCCACATGGACATGGATAAGGGTATCGATATTGCACATATGAGTACGGTTAAAATATGTTCATTCTTGAGAAATATTGACTTAGAATTCGTAGATTCTTTGCTAGTTTGTGACATTTTTGTTGAGTACACTTTTTCGATTCCACAATTTACTGAATAAGATATAACTACGTAATTTTCAATAACTAATAAGATTTGTGTTGTACATGTGTACTATAAATTTATATCACAGCTGACTTCTTTAATTGTAACTGGGTAATATAATTAATATTATTTTTGTTTGTTCACATCTTCAGATTTGTAAATAAATAAAATTATTTTTATCAAAAAAACAAAAATAGGTATAAAAGTGACTATTCTTGACTTGGAGCACTTGTTTTATTTGTGTAGATCTATGCAATTAAGAAATAAACACTTCGTCAAATCGTTATTGAAAATTTTATACTTCAGTCTTCGTAAAACTTTATTTCCTCATTGGTTACTCTATGCTGAAATTCGTTAGTACTTCACTAAAAATGACAGTTGACAGTGACATTAACTACCTAATATTTTAGCTTGAAAATTTTAATAAATTATATTGTTAATACTATACCATTTTTTTGAGCCAGGATATCAATTAACAAAAAGTAAATCTAAGTTTTGAATCTTTATATTCCTTTATATTCATCTATTGTAGAAACTGCAACGGTGTAAACTCGTAACCTCAAATATGTCTTTAGAGACGGTACCAAAAGATTTAAGAGGCTTACGTGCCTGTTTAGTTTGTTCTTTAATAAAGGTGAGTATTACAAGATTTCAATAATTATTTAATATCATCACATTTTATATTTTCATTCTGTGTTAAATGATAATCAAAGTAAAACTACACAGTGTACATTATTGACTGTATATTGATTGAAATTAAAACCTTAATTAAACAAAAAACAATTTCTAATGTTGATTTGAAGTGGCTGACATAGGGATTTATATTTAAAGAAGAGAATAGAAATAAATAAGATTTATTACTGAATCTACAATACTTGAAAATACATAATACTAAAACTATGAAATAAAATTACAGTGATAATAATGTGGAATAATTGACATTTTCAGACATTTGATCAGTTTGAATATTATGGATGTGATAACTGTGATGAATTTTTACGAATGAAGAATAATAAAGACAATGTTTATGATTGCACTAGTAATAACTTTGATGGGTAAGTAACAAAATAATAGTGTTGGTATAAGACAATAACAAACTTCTGCAACTTTCTTCAACTGGTTTCAATGTTAACAAAAAGGAAAACTGACCCTCTGTCACATTGATAATTTTGTGTGGATTAATAGATGTATATTGTTGATAGCTATCATATGCAATCTATTGTTTTTAGGATGATTGCAGTTATGAGTCCTGAAGATAGCTGGGTTTGCAAATGGCAACGGATAAGTAAGTATTATAATGATGTTATAAAAAAGTAAATAAATATTAATAATGCACTAATATAGATATAATAGTCATGGCCAAAAAGTTAGTTATAACAATAGGTGTTATATCCTAAGTGAAATTGTCATTTTTATCACTACAATTATAAAATAAACATTGCCCTAGATGTTATTGTCAAACTAAAAATGAAGAATAATCATTAAGTCATTGCTTATTTTATCTGACATAGTACAGTAGAAGCATCTAGGTTTTAGTTTTGTCATCATATTATCTTGTTTTCCATAATATAGGGTAATTAAAGCTATTTTATATTTATTTTTACATTTTCTAGGTCGGTTTTGTAAAGGAGTATATGCAATATCTGTGTCTGGCCGTCTACCTGCTGGTGTGATCAGAGAAATGAAAAGCAGAGGCTATGTGTACAGACCCAGAGATACAAGTCAGAGATAACTTATAATCTTATTTAACTCTATATTATATAAGTTATCTTTAACACAATATGCTACTTTGAATATAGAATTCATTAACAAATGAGTGTCATTTTCTACTGTTGCCTATATACATACATAAAATTGGGAAGAAATATTAATGAGGTCATTTATGATTGAAAAGAAATATATTTTGCACAACTATATTTTGATTATCAAGTTATAAGTTATCTCATCTATAACATACAAAGTAATGCATACTGGTGGAATACACTGACATATAAATTAAATGCAAGCAGTATTAGATCACAAATATTAAATGTAAAGTATTTTAAAAATGTTAGGCAATTTACATGTTATTGGAAACATACTATACACAAAAATAAATTCATTCATTACATAAACTGTCTACTTTTTCATCTTTGTACTTTAATTTGTTACGCTCCTGGCATTTGAGGTTTCCATTGAAAATGTTCCAACATGTCACTGGATTGAGAGCACACATTACATTGAATTGGTGTCAACTCGTACTGCCATCTGTTGGTGTTTTGAATTCATTCTCTGTGCCTAGTATATCTTTATCAACTTCCTTAAAGTCTATATTCTGTTGTTTCATAGCATTCTGAAAGAAATTTTTATACTTCTTTAAAAATGTTATATTTAATTGTAAGTACTGATAAATTTGTGTAATTCCTTATAAATATTATATATACATTACATGGGTTACAATTTTTACTTAAACCTTAAATTTAGTAAATCTATAAAGTATACTGTACTTATTTGACAAAAATAACAAGAAAAGTGACTACTAAATTATGATCCTATTCATAAAATTAGTTTTATGTTTTAACAAATTAAATTAATACTATAACAGACACGCAGTTATATCTATTGATCCTAATCTACATACCTTAACGCATTCCTGATAAATTTTAAAGATACCGGCGCACATTGAATCGTCATGATTGCCTTTTAAAAAGCGCTCGGAAAACCAAGTGTTGAAACAATCATCGTATTTTTTCTTAAGCTCAGTACACTCCTCTCCAATACTATTCATATTATGATAAGACGTGCGAAATTTATTCAAAAATAAAATCTAAGAATTATATTCTTCGGACTTCACTTTGCCACTGCGTTGGTTAATAAATAAAAGTAATAAAAATATATGAATTAATCAAAACAAATTAGGTATTTCTATATTATAGTTTTATAAATATTATTACGTAACAAAATGTAAGCAAATACCGAAACCTAGCAATAAATGGACCAATGCAAAGTTAACCAAAATCAAATATATATTCAGTCAGGTCAAATTGCAAATCAACACATCTGCAACTGACATTGACAATTGAATTGACATAAAGGTGACTGATGTACCAAAGAGTCAGCAGCGTAGTTAATAATCTGAGCCTGATTTTCCAGAACAATACGAACAAAGAAAACTATATTAAACAAGTATGTAATCACCACGTCTACTTTTTAAAAGTAGGGTTGCCAACTATGCTCATAGCATTATGAAAAATGCCATGAATACAGTTGTAAATATCTTACACAATGGTGTATTATTTTAGAAAACATTTGAACTGTTTCCTAAAATACCTGAATTTTGATGGCGTTATATTTTTAGAAACTGCAACAGTGTATTATTGTGTTTATAATTAAATCAGTACTTTAATAAGATTGAAAAAACGTCTTCTTTTTTACCATGAAACTAGTGCGCCCTGAACAAACTAAAAAAAAAATAAGGTAAGTAAGGAACAGAATATTCTGACATAGATACAGTTGACAATTTTATTTATTCAAAATAACATATAAAATAGTATCTGCCAATTTTTAGAGTGAGAAGAAATCACTAAATTTCTTAAAATTTTTAGAGCTGTAGTGTAATCCTGTAGTGTGTGTGTATGTGTATGTGTCTGGCTGTAGTGTGGTACTACAGCCAGACAATTATTTATATCTTCAATATATAATTATATATATGTTTTGTTGCTTTTGCTGTATCATTTCTATTTACCTACTTAATTTTTTTTAATTTGCGCACGTGCCTTAAAATTAACATTCATAGATTGAATAATCTTTTCGACGAAATGAAACTTATTTAGAGGGTCACATTCTTAGTATTCCTTTTATCAAAACGAGTCGTTAGTGTTTTATTTACGTACTACAATGCCATCTATCAATCAAATGTATCAATTTATTAAATTTCTTCTACTAGTATCTCCTTCCAAATTAATCTAGTTTAAGGTAGATGTCCAGCCGCCTTACAATTTGAAATAGTCACCATTACTTACCTAGTGACAGCAACCACTATATATATAGAGTCACGTACACTATTGACTGTGCTGTACGGTCAATATATTACATATACATTGACCGTACAGCACATATAGTACAAATACATACTAATAATAGATACAAATTCGAAAGTGCATGTGTATGTCATGATTGTTTTTAAGGACTAAACGGCTGAATGGATTCCATTTAATTAATGAAGTGTTGTGGCCGGACTTCGGCTTTCTTTTATTAAGAAAGCAACGAGATAATAAATCTAATATTTATATAAAATTCTCACAGATTTCGTGTTTATAGGTACTCTTCCGAAACGACTTGACCGATTTTCATGAAATTTTATATGTATATTCAGTATGTCTGAAAATATGTTTATAACTAATCTTTATACCCCAAAGTGAAGTGAAGGGTGGCTCAACCCAAATATTTTTTATGTATTTTCGACAAAATTTTTCTTTTTTTATAAGGTAAGGTAGGATAAGGTAGGGTCAGCTAGTAGTATTATATAAATAAGTAATACTCATAATGTACATGTACATTTATTTTCACATATAGGCGAGTTCATTCTTTTATTTATCTATAAAGTAGGTAAATAGTACTGATGTGAAGGATGTAGAACAAGACGACGAGCAAAGAAAACGGCACCGGTATAGTCATAAAATATTGTGTAATAATGACTTATGTCATATAAAAACAATATAATATTATAAAAAACATAGATAATAAAAAAAGGTATAAAAATAGTTCGCAACAACTGGAGAGACGATCAAGCTGATGGCCCTAAAGTGGCAACCGTCGGTCGTGTGTATACCTACATGAAAAGGTCTCGCAGACATCACGTCGTCATGTGACGTCGCTATGTCTTATCGCGTTGCCATTCAGATTAATGTCTTACCATCGAAACCATCGTGATAAATTCCTAGTGAATTTATCACGATGGGCTAACTGACCTGACCTCATGTTCATCTTATCATCCTCCATTGGTGCCCCGCCAACGTATACCGTTAGCGCAGGTGGGTGCACCATTCCATTATCATCAAAAAAAAATAGCATTAGAGTACTTAGAGCGAAAAAAAACCACAGTAATAACTCATTCGTCTCCGTGGCGGCTGAACTAGTCGATATAGAGGTATAAATGTACAATACGTAGACGATTTCGTTATTTTGTCGAAATTCAGGTTAAATAATCACTCCCAGAATCTTTAGCATGTCGATATGATTGTGCAAAATCTTTGTGGCAATCTTAACATAGGAAAATTACATAAATTTAATTTTCACATAAAAAGGAAAACAGATACTGACTTATTATTATATTAATAATTTAATACAAAATAAAACTTTGTATCCGTTTTTACAAAAGTTGGGTACGCGATTGAAGGAGTATGAAATTTGACGCATTTAAAATGTGCAAGAAGTATTTTTTTGGCGTACTCATACAAAAAAATACAATAAATTAATATACAACAAACATTATACACTCTACCAAGCGTTTGCGTTTTGTTGACACACTCAGCTATATATAAGTATTTAGCCTAACAATAGAATATTAATTTAAAAAAATGTTCGAATTTTGATAACTAAGCACTATTTATTTCACTACTATATTACAATGGTAGGTACACACTATTGTATGGTCATTTGTGATTTTAGGAAATAGATATATAGAAGAGTATTTTGCCTGTTCTTATTGCATTGATAACAGGATACAGTCGTTGTAAAATATAGAAATATATAGACATTGTGTACCTACATTTATAAGGCCAATGCAGCACTAACAGATAACCAATCACATTATACGCGACTGTTCTCTGTATAAGTAAGGGGATGACAACACTAAAGAAACTTATTCTAAATTTAGTAATGACATACTGTAATTTAAATAATGTAAATTAAATATTGTAATGGGTGAAAACTGTGATTGGTACAGTTTATGCTGTAAATAATATAAATAACGTAGTGGAGTAACTTGAAACAGTCATGCTCGCTATAAAGTTCAAATTTGTGGCGGCGTAATGGGCCGGGTCGATGTGCTCCCTCTAATATGGTTGAGTGCAATGATGGCTGGCTCATCCGTCATACTCGTGAACGGGTGCTGCTTGTGGGGACTGGTCTGTTCAGGTTGCGAACACTGATTAGATTTTTTGTTTTTTTTTATATAGCATATACTGGTGGTCACTCTATTCTCCCAAATTTGAATTTAAATGAAATAGTATTATTGTAAATATGTACAACATTTAAAAAAGAAAATACGAGCTGAGTTTCTTGTCAGTTCTTCTCATCTCGAAATCATTCCCAACTGACGGCAGATTTAACATATCATAAGAGTCTGTAATAGACCTACATGAATAAAGATATTTTGAATTTTTGATGGACAAGTGTGATGGTCCATCCTGGAGAATGACGCAATTCACAGAATACGGAATTTTAAATTATTGACACGACAGAATGACTAAAATATTAAGTGTCAGAATATTTTTATTGAATATTAAAAAGCATTCATATAAATAACAGTAGCTTATATAAAATGCTATTTGAAATAATTTTGTACTAAGTCCAATCTATCTGACGGGATGGCTCGTCAGCTAGCAATACAAAAGTCGATGTGACCAATTTCCTTTCCGTTGAAAACTTCTAAAAGCCCAATGAACGTTAGCTGCGCTTCCGAAGGTGATTTGAGGAACTTTAACCTCGAAAATATTTTAATATTTTTTATAATGATAGACCTTGTTTAGTTTAAGTCAATTCAGTGCATTTGAAGTCATAATATAAATGTTGATCAGAATTAGTTTCAAGAGTCAGACGAAAGTAGTTATATTGTGTTCCAAGTGAAGTGAAATAAAAAGTAATTTATTCTTGTAGGATAATTTAGCCATACTTAGCTTATTGTGTAAGTAAATATACATCATAGTTACACAGCACTTATTTATTGATAATGGGAAGTTACTTCTATCTCTACATAGTATAAAATAAAGTCACCATCAGTGATTCAAAATTAAGGTTTATATGTATAATACATGTACCTACATCCGTGTGAAGCCGAGACGGGTAGTTAGATTTTGAATAACTTACAACTGTTGCTTATAATGTAAAATAAGGCAATTAGTAATATGAAAAAAATGTCTATGGGGTAATTATGTTGCCATAAAATTCACACAAATTTCAGTGAATGAACTTAAAATGATCGGACGGGTTAGAGGTCGCCTCAACTGTTTACGTCAAATCGGACAGCTGCGCGACACGACGACGCCGATGTCCGGATGCTTAAATAGAAAAGCTACTTTAATGTGTACTCAAGCGCTGAAATAAACAAGCATCTACCACTAGTACCTAAGTGTGAACTCGAACACTTAAAATTTGTAAAAGTGGTTACAAAACTCATAACAATATCGAAATATTTGTTCAATAAGTAGGTACGTAGTTTAAGAAGAATCACATTGTGACGAAATATTTATTTCGTATTCCAAAATTTATTAATAACTTTAAAAAAATAAATGTATAAAATCTCACTTATTACGAACTCTATCCGCAATAGTTTAAAAAATTTGCTTATGGCTGTAATTTGACAAGTTATTTACATTTAATTAGATTTAGATTGGGATTTCAAATTGACTTCTATAGAAAGTACTTGATAACTTCCCCAATTTTTTTTACGATTTTAATAACTATTGAGTACCTACTTGCATGTTCTTAATCATATAACATATAATACATTACACGAATAAATAAGTCAACGTGATCCTAATTGTATTATAAGAATAGGGATTATTATTACAGATCCACATAGCATCCGGATTTCATAATCAAAAAGTAGTATTTAATTTAGTTTGCAATTTTAAATGCTATATTTAAATGGATCTATAAAACGACCTCAGATTGAGGGGTCGTAGATATTCTCAATGCGCAGTCTGCCTACTATTGGAGAACATTACTGCGCAGTAGATTATTCATTCGACTCCTAGAACTGAAAAATGTATTATCATAATGCGCAATTCATTGAATTTAGTCTGATGTATTACTCAGTTTTATCATGATAAAAATTCGCAGTCCATGACAAAAAATCTCGATACACCTGGATGTTTAGAAAAAAATACCGCTGTCTAATACATTTTAATATAACCATTCAAATATTTCACGTTTTAAAATTTAAATAAGGTTT